TAGTGGCTCAAATTGCTTGAATTTTTTCATGAATGTTGCCAAGAATATTTAGTTTAACAAGATACAAATATTTAGTTTCAATTTTTTTCTTCAATTTTTTACAACACAGAATGTTGATAATAGTGTATGAAAATTCAAAATATAATGCACATGAAAATAAAAAAATTTCAGAAAAATATTTAAAGAAAGTTGTTTAATTAAATTTTTTATTTATGTCAACAGAAAGAATTTAAAGATGGCATCATGTGCCTCCATCCCGAAAGAGTTAATTGTTTACATCTGCAGTTGATGGTGGTGATCCCTCGGTTTTGTGCAATTCTTAGCTTATTTTGCTTACATTTAACCCTAGTTATGGCTTATAAGCAAGGTCCAAGTGACAGTCATGGTATTTCATTAATCATTTAATTCACATTTAATGTTTGTTTTATTTAAGTTTCTAGCAGTCCATGGTGCTTTAGAGACCTGGGAGGGGTATGATTAGTGGGTCAGAGGTGTATTGTTGAATTATTATTACATGACCTCTGCTGGCCTGGTAAAACGGATAATCTGGCAATTCTCTGGAACCAAGGGTGCCGGAAAATCGGTGGTGTGTCTGTATTGCTTTATAGAATTAAGTACTTAAAACTCGTAAACTATTAAAATATGGATTATTAGCTAAGATTTTTTTACTATACTAAGTGGTATAACATAAATAAAAAGTAGTTTAATAAAATTTTAAATGTAAGACACTAAAACTTTGTGTCATGCACAGTAAAGGATACCCATAGCAATAGGGTTAATGTCACCCCAGTGTAATGATAATAATTTGGAGATGTTATCAAACCACTGGATCATACACTAGGAGACTGGGCCAGGGCCATACACATGCCACAAGTCAAAGACAGGACTACTACTTGGTGAACTTAGCACTATGGAATCATTAAAGTACTGCTAAAGGCCTACAAATTGACCTTCATTGTGCAACCAGTGCCTATGTATCTGACCAAACTGTTCAGAACAGACTTCATGAACATGGATTCAGAGCCAGAAGTCCCACTCTTGGTCCAGTTTTAACCATACAGCATCATGCTGCCAGATTAAACTTTGCTCATTTACATCACAACTGGTAGCTTCATCATTGGAGAACTGTACTCTTTTATAGGTGAAAGTTGATTTCATGTTTCCATTTGTGCCAGACATGTACATGTCTGGAGATGCAATGATGAATGTTATGTGGTTTGTTGTACTGTGAAATTTGATCATTATGGTGGAGGTACTGTTATGGTCTGGGTGTGTATCTACTTGGAAGGTTACACTGACCTAATTTTTATTGATGGAAGTTCCTTAACTGCACAGTGGTATCAGGATTACATTCTACACTGTTGTATGGCTTTTTGTAGGTTCCATCAGACACAGTTTCACATTGGTGCTGGATAATGCCAGATAATGCATTTATGTATAACATCGAGTGAAGTCTTTTAAAATCTGAAAGTTTTAATATTGAAAATAATGAAATTACTTAAGTTGAAGAATCTAGTACTTTGCATTAATTTAAGGTTACTGAAATGAATATTCATTTACATTTGACTAAAGCGAGAATAAATTAAGATTTTTTGCCATTAAGTATACATTTTATTATTCTATGCTCAATTTCTTCTTAATTCAACAGCACAGGAAAACATAAGGTGTACATATTGTACTTCATTTTGCATATCCTGCTTACCACAATAAAACTTAGATGGTCATTAGCTAGTTGTATTAATAACTTTTGCTATGTAGTTGTTTTTATAAGTATCCCCTACTAAAAACTTTCATTTTTTATGGAGATGAAGTCATTCCTGTGAAAAAGGAAGACAAAAGGCATCCTTCTAATATTGCTTAAAATTAAAAAAAGGAATATTGGAATCTATAAACAATTTTAATATTCTAATTAATAAATATCAGTAATACATTTTATATTTTTAAATAGCAACAAGGAACATTGGTTTTAAAATTCTTCAAGTATTTAAATGTTCAGGTAGTATTTCAGTAGCTTATATAAGATTTATGTTAACTTGGTTATCCTTATTTGCATCTTAAACTGAAAATAGATAATTCCATAATTAGTTAAGTATCTATAAATGAGGAATTGATAAACATTGAAATTGAATCATGACATGCATATTACATGATGTCAAAGTATTTATTTTGTTTGATTTAAATTTAGAATTACACTATTATCTTTATGAACAAACTTGGATTTAAGTAAAATCCAGAATTTTTCTTAATCTTTTTTTTTTTTAACAACTGTTTTTGTGTTATCTTTGGATGAATTTTTTCAGGTTAGCCGGTGGTATGAGCTTGTGGTATTCACAGCTAGTATGGAAATATATGGAGCAGCAGTAGCAGATAAGCTTGATAACAACAAAGGAATCCTAAGAAAGAGATATTATAGGCAGGTACAAAAAAAAAGTTACTAGCTCAAATGGAAAGTTACCAAAGTCTTGAGTATATTTCTAGTACTATCTTATTTGATATTGATTTACAGTATAAACTTAATAAGAATCTAAAAGAAAGTAAAATTTCTTATGATTAGTATTAGAAAATTATAAATTTTTCATGAATATGCAAATTTGTTCTTAATGTTTGTACTTAGTATACTGTTTTTAACTTACGACATTGATTAGTTAACCATTTAAGTATTACATTAAAGCTTAACTTTACAGTGTGTCATTAAAAGGGACATTTACTTCAAATTATCACACTTGCTGCATTAATCTTGGTACATGGTTTCAAAACATATTTAAACTTCTATAATTTTATGATCTTTGTTCATATATAATACATTCAGGATGAACGATCTTGTGTCTCGTATGCAATGTTTTTTAAAATGCATATGATACATTGCTTAGAAAATTGTTTTTGTACATTCAGGTCTTCAACTTTCTGTATGTTCTATATCTAGAAATTTCAAAATTGTGAAGGTTCTATGAGAATAAAGATTTGTAATGTAACATGGGTTAAACTCAGATTAGTTGTGTAGGACATACACTTTATTAAGTATATTATTTTTATTGTATTACATTTAACTTGATTATACTTTAGAGTATCAATATTCTTGATATTTATAAAGTAATTCTGTTATTAGTTCAATGTGTTATCTTAAATATACGTTTTTGTTATACTACCTGTGTTGTCTTGTTACCCAGCTTTTATAACTAAATAGTAATGTGTCGTAGTAATTTAACTCAGATGTCAGGCAACTGTAAAGTTGTACTGTCAGAGCCATTTAATGGGCTTTCACTGGTCACAAGACATTTTAGGGAGGATTTTTAAAGTTTTGAGTGTACTTATTCCACATTAAATCTATGATAATGCGTGAAGCAAACCACTGGTGTTTATGTTCCGTAAGTAAGTTATATTCTGTTCTCTCTGTAATGTTATTTTCCTTAACAGTATTGGTTTCAATATTTGATATACCTGTGTTTATTTTTTATTTTTCTTATAAAGATTATTTTTGCCTTATTTGCTTAGAATATGGATTTGAGAACTTAGCTGTTGAACCTCATGAGATATTATTGGTATTAAGGCTGAAATTATCACTAAAAGTGAGGGTAAATGATGGAACAATTCACTATAATATTTGTAAGTAAGAGTATAAGAACATTATATTTAATTAGCTATACTCATTATTGGGTTGTTTTTTAATGATGATCTTTGTAGCTTTCTTTGATAAGAAGTTAATAGTAGTTATTTAGTTTTTATTTGGTTTTGTTAAGGTAACAAGTCATTTTTATTTGAAGACAAATTGGTAGCAAACTGAGTATAAGACCTTAAAAGTTATGGTTTAAATACTGAAAGCAAGCAAAATGTTGAAAAACTAATAGGCCTAAAATATTTTTATAAAAACGAGTCAAGTGCAGATGTTTTATTTCCACTTCCTCTTACTTTGTCCATTGTCACTCAAAACTTTTTACACACATCTAACTTCTAATTTCAATTAAAGAGAAATGTGTGAAAAAGTAACATCTGCAGTTAACTTGTTTTTATCAAAGATTTTAGGCCTGTTGGGTTTTTAGTATTTTTCCAGCTCTTGCCATTCAAACAGTAACTTTAAAGTATTATACTGCATAAATAAATAGTGTTTCATAGATTCATTTGTCTCTCATTCTCCAGTCTAACTGATGAGTTCTGGTATTGAACAAAAAGCAATGATCTGTGGGAGACAAAAGATAGATCTGCAACATAATTTTGTATATATACCTTTAAATATAACACTGCTAAAAATAAAATTAAGGAAATCTGTAAAACCATTATATTCTTTGTATTACATAAAGTGCTTATTAACTTTATATTTTAATATATACATACCTATATAGAAATATATAGGGAATTTCAACTGTTTGACTTTCTTAAATACATATTTTATTTATCTTACTTTTCCTCTTGGAGTTCTCATGTACAGGTAACTTACAGTATTGTTACGTCAGCGAGGTCACGTGATTAGTATCACGCCACATCATTCTCGAACCTTCGTGAATTGTCGGGAGATTACTAGATATAGTGTAGTCTTGTATATATAAGACCGGCCAAGAAGCGACGCGGGAGGTAATGAGTAATTGAACTGCAGTCAGAGAGTATGTAATTGAATGGAGTATTGTTGAAGTCAAGCACGTGAGACGTTCGTTGAGAATTATAGCGCGACTGTT